TTTTTTTTTTTTTGTACTGTATGTAATTTTTGTGAGAGGAAAGATGAATTCAGTTAACAAAGGAAACATTTCATAATAACACTTAAAAAACCAGAAAGGCTTATTTGAGGTCAGGTAAAATACAATACACAAGTAGGTCTAAGCTGAAGACAGAAAAGAAAAAAAAGAAGTGTTACCAAGAACGATTACAGAAAATACAAAAAAAGCTTTTCTCCCTTCCCTGAAAGGTGAAATGAAGAACAGACTTTTGGTCAAGGTTAGAGAAGCTAGCGCGAAGTTAAACTTAACTGGATCATTTTAAAGACAAACTGGAAAGGGGTCTTTTTATGGGAAATGGAGGTGACAAGAAGTCAGGCCCCATGTAAAACTTTGGAGACAAGACACACGGTATGGCTGGTTTTTCATGTTTAGCACTTAATTCTCAAATGGGACTACTGTCCTCCCTTCCCACCCAAGTGGTGCTGTCTCCAAAAGGTATGAAGGCGGTCATGGGGAATCACAGCTACTCATGCTGGCACTAAAATACTGAGTTTGTTAGAAAAACATACGGATCGTATTAGTTTTTGCACATAGATAATACCAAGAACTGCTACAGCTTGAGAATCCAGCTAAATACTTTTCATGTCAAGTGAATTTTGGCAAAGAATGAGAAATAATGGCAAAACCCCAAAGGTTCTTGTTCAGTGCCATACATGGTCAACAACAAAATGCACTTTAAAAATGTAAGCATAGGCAGGTCCAGGACTTAGGAGCAGGCCCTCCCCGGGGAACACCAACACCAACACCAACCAGAGCGGAGCAACCTGTAACGAGGAGACAAGCACTGCCACGGCATACAAAGGTAACAGTGACCTGCTGAGCATGAAAGGTGCACCCTGTCCGGTAGCTGACTGCCTGAAAAACTAGCAGACCTAAGAAGCTACGAAAAGGAGCAGAAAATTGGGGTCTGTGCCTCAGAAGCAAGCCAACACAGGAGGTGCACTGGTGTTGGCATTATGCATTAGAATCAGGCCACTACTGCTCAAATCTTACAACAGTGAAGAGCACATTACAGATTACAGCATAAATACCATAGAAAAAAAAGCAGGGCCTGAATACAAGTCCAACTCACCAAAGAACTGGGACAGCCAAGACTTATGGCCCCCAGGGACCACATCACTAGCAGCCTAGACAGACTGAGGGGCCCTCAGTTGCCAGGTTCTTTAAAATCAGGGTATTACTGAAGCCCCGGGGGTTAACTGTGACTATTAAGAGAGAGACGAGACCAGATAAAGAAGCCTCAAGCCTACAGTGTGAAAGGGAGGCAGAGTTCAGGCAGCATTCACACAAGAGGAACCCTGATCTTTCTTCCAGCTCTGGAAAATTACCCACAGTAAGCGCAGGGTTCAGGAAGTAGGAAGCAGACTGAGGGTTAAAGACATGAAAAATTAGGTTCGATTTTCATGTTAGAAAACACAGTTACAGTAAATGTTGGCAAATGTAAGAGGTGTCGTTAAAACCCATTCTTTTGAATTCTGTAATTTTGGAGCTTACAAAATTCAATGTTGTGAACTCCAGGAAGCAGGGATAATTTTACAATTGTGTTTGTCATAGTGTGCTAAGAAATGACAACATATATAAAAGTTCATTATTAAATAGTTTATGGAAGAAACATGCCATTGTAAAAATGTATACTTGGGAAATGTGCAAATTATCAACTGACTCTTCTGGGACTTTTTTTCAGGATTTGAAAAAGGGAAGGCAGAGTTGGTCATCCAGCTGGGGATCAAGATAATATATTCAGGCATCGACTTTCAGGATGACCAAAGTTTTTACGGAAAAATTTAAAACCATCAGATGTTTGGCTGTTTTAAAAATTTAACAAGGAAAGTACCAGAAGTTTGTTTTTGTTTTTTTGAGGTAATCTGAGCCCCAGCAATGGGCATGTATGTATGTATCATTATCTTGGTATATGAACACTGAAAAAAAGGAAACAAAATAAGACCCCTCAATGGGCAGGAAGTGAAATCTTAAGATTCAGATCAAGTCCAAGATTCAGGCTCGGTTCGAGACAGTTTTTCTTTTCTTCCAACACTCCTTTCAGGGACACAAACTGTCAGAGCAGGTAGAGGAAGGCGCACATCTTAATATTTTGTTGCTGCTTCTAGGACAGGCACAGGGTCTTCTCATCTTCATCCAGGTTCCTCCGGATTCTCACCCTGATCTTCATCCAGATTCCTGTGGAAGGACCAGCACCAGGATACAAATCTTCCAGAGCCCAGCGCAGACTGGCGTTGAGACACACTGGGATGCGCGGTGCGCAATCAACAGGCTTCCTATTGGATTCGGTCATTATTAGTCTGCCGGGAGGGAATATAACCAGGCGCCAGCTCCGCCGTAAGAGAGGGAGCTAGGTTTCTTCGCTTGTGTGCCGTAAATAAAATCGAGTGACTCTACAAGTAGCAGCCGTGAAGGAGAGCAGGCCTGTGTGGAGGAGGCTCCCGCGGAAGAGCGGGCTCGGTGAGGGGCAGGGAGTGCGCGCGCCCCGGGACGCTGTCTCGGCGTCCCCAAGGCAGGCAGCCCCGTGGCAGGCAGCGGGGTTCGCGTGGCGACGCTAAGGCACCAGCTCGTACACGGGGCCGAAGTCCAGG